AAAGCACTGTGGTCTCACAACAAGGTTCTGAGTGAAAACCTGCCAGCGGGCTTTTGTGTGTCAAGTTCTCATGTTCCTGGTGTCAGCTGTGCACCTGTCCTGTTCCCCCCCACAAGGCGTGGTTTTATGATTTAAAATGTGTTATTAACAAATGGGGGAAAGAAACCTTTGCAGTGGCAGCAGTGAAATCATAAACAGCTAAATACATATTCATCTTTAGTGATTATACTGTTTGGTTTAAGGGTTTAAAACAGAATCAGATTAAAAAGTGCATTCGTCTTCTCCTTTGTTTCTCAAGCAGAGAGAGTATATTACCCAGCAGAGTTTGGGTGACTACATCATTGCTACACGTCACAGAATGAAATTGGATTGCTGCAGTCAAAGATGCACTTCTGTGTCCAAATAAACAGAAATATACACCAGGAGAACAACACTTAAAGTAGGCCTACTGTTACTGATAATCCTATGCAGACAGCACTTAAATGTAATTCTGCTTCATATTGCATGCAAAATAATAAAAACTAATACTGTTACCTTAACACATAAAGGTAATTGTAAGGCTAATTTAGAGATTCAAGGTCAGCAGCAAACATGCAGATTCCCTGGGCTCTCCACAGATGTGAAAATAAAGCTCATCATGTTGGAACTGATATCAGCTTGAGGAAGCATTATGTTGGACAGAGTGACACACTGAGGCAGAAAACGCTCCAACCCATTGAACGTGGCTAAGGGGCGGGACATCTCTAAGCGGTTGACCAATCACAACAGAGCCGGCCAGCTAACCAATCCGTTCGGGAGGCTGTGGCTCAGTGGATAGTGTGCTGGACTTGGAATCAGGGGGTAGTGTAGCAAGTTCGAGTCCCACTGCAGTCAGCATGTCGTTGTGTCCCTGGGCAAGACACTTCACCCGAAATTGCTCCTGTGGGGATTGTCTATTGAAAGTATGTAAGTTGAGTTGGATAAAAGCGTCTAACAAATGTAATGTAATGACTGGGCTCTGGTTTCAGACAGAGGGTGAAAAGAGGTCCTGCAGCACAGGCCATTATGAGAAAAATAAAGCACAATGTAAGCAGCAAAACCACTGAATGCACAAAGTGAGTAGGAAGTATTTTATTTCTCACTAAACAACCTTTTCATTTGTAAGGGAATTGATGTTTTTTTTTGTATCACTTTTGTCTCACCAAATCTTGATCTCTGTACCACATCCTGCAACAAAACCATGCATTCATTATCTTCACAAAGCAAATTATTTAATCTTCTCATTGTTACATGAGGGCTATAACAAGCATGGGGTAGCTTTTCATTAGAATACTGTATAATTAATATGACGTGATAAAAGTAATTAACACCTTTAGACTGAAATAATATGAGCTACAGTAACAATGAGTGTCAGTGTGCAGAAGCCTTTTCAGTATAAAAATATCTGCTCAGGGTTATCTTTTTAAATCATAATTCCTCCTCATACTCTTGAGCTATAACTCCATTATCATAATACATCTGCACTGCACTCTCTATCCTGGGATATTACTTTACTTGCAGCTTTACATAAGAAAGAAATCCAGACTGTATTTGTGTGGCACGACTATATGTAGTGCTCCCTGGCGTATGGTATTATGAAAACTACGCAGCCATTACCTCAGGACATGGGGATGGTGGAAATGAATGAACGTCGGGACCCGGGGGGGTTTAATTAATATTTTTATATATATTTTTAGGTTGGCTTTTTACTAGTGACATCCTGTTTAATTGTTACTTTAATTTTTATTATTTATTTATTTTTCTATTGTTTTAATTATTCATTTATGTTATAGGTTTTTATTTATATTAGTTATTTTATAGTTTTATAGCGACATCCTCTTTTAAATTGGTAATTTAATCTTTATGATTATTATAATTTATTCATATTTTATTGTTATTCTTTTAATAGTTTTTATTTTATTTTATAGGTCTTTTTATTTTATTGTATTTATTCATTTTGTCTTAAGTATTCCTTTATTTTACCCAGAGGGATCATTATTTATTTTATGGCATTTTCTTTTTATTACCTTATACCTCCTCCTTTCCCTTTGAATTGTAACACATGTTGTTATTACTTTGAGCTGCACCTGGTTTATGAAAAGTGCTATATACAAATTATTATTATTATTATTATTATTATTATTATTATTATTATTATATAATCCCACTCACCTCAGTCTTTGTGCATGTCTGGTGTGAGTGACTGTGGGCATGTGCTGGCCACCCCCCTTCAACACACACATACCTTGGCAACTGTTGACATGCAGCTGTTCAAAAATAGCCCTCTAGAAGCTACCCTGAGTGGCCCACAGATAAGCACAGATTGTATCGTGTGTGTGTGTGTGTGCACATTGTTGTGTTTCTATGAAGACCATGTGTTGGCTGGCATTAGTCCGAAACCCCTACAAGACTTTTTGATTGGCAAGTCTCCATTTGTTGTGTTTTTTTTAGAAGCTATTCAACAAAACAATGGAGGCCATTCCCGACCAGTTCATGGAGTTCCACCCGATCCACGGTGTGAACGTGAGTCTGGACCTCTCGGGAACACGGGCTACTCGCGTGGAGAGCTTTGCAAATGGAGTGTGTTTCAGCAAACACCCTCTGAAGCCCGGGGAGATTTTTCTCATAGAGATCGAGGAAAAGGAGGTGGGCTGGTGTGGCAACCTACGAGTCGGCCTGACTTCTAGAGACCCTGGAAACTTAGACGTGGTGCCTGAATACTCCATCCCAGACCTGACTGATTCGGGGGACAGCTGGGTGTTCGCCATCACTCGAAACCACAACAAAGTGGTAGAAGATCCTGTAGATGGAGGTCAAAGGCTCGGTCGTGGAGAGCCTGGAGAAGAAGCAGCTGAAGGATACCACAACCTGAAACCACAGACCTTCTTCACGGACTCTCACTTGTACATTGACAATGTTCGGATCCCCAGAGACAAGCTGGTGGGACGGAGCAGGCCTGGACGCTACAGCCACATTCTAGACGACTTGTATAGGACAAACGCTCTGCCCCCCACGGCCAGACGCAGCCGGATAGGAGTGCTGTACACGCAGAGAGGACCAGGCCTGGCTGATATGCACGTTGTGATCAATGGGGAGGACATGGGAGCTTCTGCTAAGGGGATCCCCACCATCCAGCCGCTCCACGCTGTGGTGGACGTGTTCGCTGCTACCAAGTGTGTCCGAATCGTCCAGGTGGAGTATGGATGTGAGTGTCACAGTGGAACCATGGTTTACATGGTAATGTGTCTCAGAGACAGAAAAAGGAATCAGGGATGTTTTTTGTACTTATTGTGGTCGGTTTGAGTCTCTTTGAAGCTGTGTTGCATCTCAAATGTCAATGTGATTGTCTTTCTTCTCTTTTATAGTCTTTGTAGATGCCCTGCATGTATTTTAAGTGTTTTTGCATCATTGTTAGTCTCTCTGGTCTCCTTTAAGTCACTTTGTGTCTCATCCTGGACACTGTGTGACTCTTTGCAGTCTTTTTGTGTCTCTTTAGTTTCTTTACATCTCTTTGTAGTTGTGTCTCATTGTGATCACTGTGTGTCATTTTCTAGTTAATTTGCATTTCTTTGTGGCCTTTTTGTGTTTGTTTGACGTCACTTTGGGTCCATTTGAAGTTCCACTGCATCTATTTGGAGTCGTTTGGAGTCTCTTTCTAGTTGCTTTGTATATGGTCATTTTAATTGTTCCCTTTCTCTTCTTGCTTTGTGTCTTAATTTTTTGTTAACTGTCAGTTTGTAGGAGTTTTGCACCATTTTGTTGGTCGTTTTTGTGTTGGTTTTGCGTCTCGTTGTGGTTGTTTTATTTGACTCTCACCCATTTCAGTAATGAATCCATGCTTAAATTCTTCATTCTTCTTTACTTGTATTCTGCTAATCCACTGTCTTTTCGTGTTTTTTTGTTTCTCTCTCGGTTGCTTCAGTCTCATCGTTGCAGACGTTGTGCAGAAAGGCCATCCAGAAGCACATCGTCCACCGGATGGCCATCGACTGGCTGGAGCTGCCAGAGGCCATGAAGCACTACTGCAAGTATGAATGAAGGAGACTCACCTGAAATGGACAAAAATATCACCTCAGAGATCTTTCACCCTTTCTACCTAGAAAATGATGTTTATTTTTATGATGGAAGTCTGTGTTTTATCTATAAAATGAAGCCACAAGTGTCATGTTAATACCTGCCAGACCGTGATTTTGCTCGGTTTCATGAACTGTTAACTAATAAACTCACAGTTTTTGCTAGGCTGTCTTTCTGAGTCTGCTGCTTTCTTTGTTACAGATCAAACGGTTCATATTCTGAAAAAACATTTTGTTTAAAGTTACATGATAATGAGAAAAAGTGATGTTGATTTGAATATAATCAACCCTAAAATGTAAGCAATGTCTACTCGGATTGAGATTTAAGAATATTTAATAGTTCAAAATGTGGCCTCGGATGATGCCTCGCTATTTTTTCTTCTTTGTGATCTATCTATGTCTACTGTTGTTTTGGTTACAAAATGGTGTGTCAAAAAGCAAGTACACATTTTTAGAGATTAGATTATGGTTGATGTCGAAAAGTTATAAAGATTTTTCTACAAATGTGACAACAAATATTTACTTTTATACATATGGTCTGGACCGTGGACTCATTTCAGTAATCCATCCGTAATTTAGTAATTCTTCAACATTTCTTTATATTTTCCACACTCTTTTTGATTTGTTTTGTTCAACTTCTCTGTTGCTTCAGTGACTGAGGTAATTCAGCCATAGTAAATCTGTTTCAGGGTACACTCACCATAATACAGTCTATGGCACTCACCTATCAGTGTGCTTAGAGCTCTTATTATACATCCATGGCTTAGAGACGGTGAAATGCCTCCATGCAGTTCAATGCAACACCTCCACCTGCAGCTCAACATCGCCCCCTGGTGGTGGTGGAGGGAACTGCAGGGGCGGAGCTCTCGTTAAATCTGCAGCCGGGATCTGTCTTCTTCACACGAGAGGAAGAAACACGGGAGAGCTTCCGGTCGTCTGTCACTGAGGCTGGAAGAAATACTAAACTGATATTTATTTCGCTTTATGCTGATCCGTGCACACACAATTACACACCCACACATACACACAGCATGTCTTTCTGCAAATTTTTCGGAGGTGAGGTCTACAAGGATCATTTCAAACCAGGTGAGCAGGCTGTAACAGTGATGTGATGTAACCTCCTTCAGTCTGGATTATACAGGATAACACTGACATTCAGGGCTCATACTTAGCCTATTTTTGGTTTCAAATTAACTCATTTTGATGGAAAAATACAATTGGATTATTGTGTAATGTCAGAGTGTTGAGTGGATTGGAAGTGTGTCAACAATTGGGGATATTTATTCATTATTATTTGAAATATGTATCTGCAGTTTCTACTATGATCTGCTACTACTACTTCTACTACTAGTTATAATAACACAGCAGCTGCTATTGATTATTGTGGTTTAAACAAAGCATTAATATAACTTGCATGTACGTTTTCAAATAAATAGTGATAAATCCTTGTTTTCCACTTTCACAGAGATATATTTTTTAAGCATCTTTAGTTTTGATCACAAACCTCCATATGAACGTTTGTTTACTTAATGTTTATTTTCTGTATACACAAGGAAACATTTCATAATTATAACTACAATTTTTAAGCCAGGGCTATAAATTAAAAGCCTGATATAATAAAATGAATGGTCTTATGCTTTAACACAAATTCTTCATATGCTACACATGTCCCCAGTCAGGCACACAGATTAAATGAGTAAGTGTTTTAGGTAGAAAATGAAACAATATCTTTTAATAAGAATCTGTTCCTGCAGGGATGTATGTGTGCTCCCAGTGTAACCACCCGCTGTTCTCCAGTCGATCAAAGTTCGCCCACTCGTCTCCGTGGCCAGCGTTCACCGACACCATCCGAGAGGACAGCGTCACCAGGATGATGGAGAGCCTCACTGCCTTCAAGGTGAGTCTCCTCCACCCGCTCTGTCTTACTGCACTCTGCACACAGATCAACTATATCGACGTATATAGTTATTAGGATAAACCCCTTGAGATGCACCATTTCGTTTTCTTGGGGGTCCCGACAAAAGCAACGTTTTACAGACATACATGGACAAAATAACAGAAAGCAAAGCATGACAAACCACGTACAGTCTGTTAAGTAAAATTCATGAAGTAATACATACAATTGTTACAATCATTACAATCTGATAGACAGTAGTGTCTAATAGATCAGTTCCATCCATAACAAAAGCAGACCAGCTGATATTGTTATAATGCATGCTTAAACATACCCAATGAAATACCCCAAAATATTTAATCCAGTTGTCTAAATGTCAACATGTGTGTTTTATCTCATAGGTTCTGTGTGGCAAGTGTGGCAACGGGCTGGGTCATGAGTTTGTAAATGACGGCCCGGAGGAGGGAGTGTCACGATTTTGAATATTCAGTACCTCGCTCAAGTTTGTCCCGAACAAAGGTAAGATGATCACAGATATGAGTGAGGCTGTATTTTTAGCCTAGAGTTAAAAATAATGAAAACCCCTCATTCTTTCTGTACAAAGCACGAATGATGATGAGGGATTTATCTCCATTCATTGAGCTTTGCAGCAAGAGAGACCTAAAAGCAAACAGCCAGTATACAGGACTGTCTCAGAAAATTAGAATATTGTGATAAAGTTCTTTATTTTCTGTAATGCAATTTAAAAAAACAAAAATGTCATACATTCTGGATTCATTACAAATCAACTGAAATATTGCAAGCCTTTTATTATTTTAATATTGCTGATTATGGCATACAGCTTAAGAAAACTCAAAAATCCTATCTCAAAAAATTAGAATAGTTCCTCAGACCAAGTAAAAAAAAAAGATTTATAACAGCAAAACACAATCAAACATTTGAAAATGTCCATTAATGCACTCAGTACTTGGTTGGGAATCCTTTTGCACGGATTACTGCATCAATGCGGCGTGGCATGGAGGCAATCAGCCTGTGGCATTGCTGAGGTGTTATGGATGCCCAGGATGCTTCAATAGCGGCCTTTAGCTCATTAGCATTGTTGGGTCTGGTGTCTTTCAGCTTCTTCTTCACAATACCCCACATATTCTCTATGGGGTTCAGGTCAGGGGAATTTGCAGGCCAATCGAGGACAGTAATGCCATGGTCAGTACACCAGTTACTGGTGGTTTTGGCACTGTGGGCAGGTGCCAGAATGCTGGAAAATGAATTCCTCATCTCCATAGAGCTTTTCAGCAGACGGAAGCATGTAGTGCTCTAAAATCTCTTGGTACACAGCTGCATTTACTCTGGGCTTGATGAAACACAGTGGACCAACACCAGCAGCTGACATGGCTCCCCAAACCATCGCTGACTGTGGGAACTTCACACTGGATTTCAAGCAACTTGGCATGGCTCCCCAAACCATCGCTGACTGTGGGAACTTCACACTGGATTTCAAGCAACTTGGATTTTGCTCCTCTCCAGCCTTTCTCCAGACTCTGGCGCCTTGACTTCCAAATGAAATACAAAACTTGCTTTCGTCTGAAAAGAGGACTTTGGACCACTGTGCAACTGTCCAGTGCTTCTTTTCCTTAGCCCAA